AAGACATACTGGGATTCAGGGACTTGGTCTAACTGAAGACATACTGGTATTCAGGGACTTGGTCTAACTGAAGACATTCTGGGATTCAGGGACTTGATCTAACTGAAGACATACTGGGGTTCAGGGACTTGGTCTAACTGAAGACATACTCTAGTGTCCACATGGCACGAATGAGACTACGTCATCGTTACAGTTTGCTGATTAGAGACGTCCAGGATTTCAAACCATCTCAAAAACAACCAGATCACAACAAGAGAAAGAAATGTTTGGATTTTTGATGACCAAAAAAACGATTTCACTCATTCACACTCAGCGATGTGGGCAAAGGAAACAAGAGGAGCTCTTTTTTTAAGGCTTAAGGATGGCTCACTCTTTTTCCCAGCCTCACTTCAGCCTTTTGACAGGCACAGCAGGTGGCCTCAAAAGCATGAATGGATTCGGAAGGAAGTCCTCTTCTCACCCACCCCCGTCCCCCTTCTACTGGTCCCCACCACTCAGAGTGATGGGCAGTGATGGCAGGCCGCCCTGACGATAAGATCTGAGTAGTGCTGCATACTGTGTCATGCCTCTGTAATGGTTTCCATAGCGAGTCAGTAAATGTAGCTTCTGTTTGCCATGACCCATCTTAAAACGGCAAAGATTTATTTTAGTTGCTCACATGAACTTTCTGCAGTGATTGATGGTGTTTTTGAAGGTATTTTTTAGGAAAAGCTAAGTCTTGTTTTTAAAGAAGTACAACAAAAGCATGCTGTCCGATTTTCATATGAATGTGCGTACATCTGAAGCTGGGTGATTCAATATAGATTCATCCAGGCTAGCCTGTGCTACTTAAATTTTTCTTTCTCATTTTCCACAGTGGTGAGAACAAGAAGTGCGTTGTTGTCACCTGCTAGATCAACAACACTGATTTTTCTTTTTTTTTTTTTTGTCAAGAGTAAACAATGAATTTTATTTGCATTATAAGTACCGTAGTTTAATGAGATCCGATCAGTCTCGAGGCACAGTTTGATGGCACATGTGCACAATGAAAACATGCCACTGTGAGAGCGCATGTCAGTGTCAGGAGTAAAAAGATTTGGTTTTGTTGCTGCATTTGGAACTGGAAATATTCTAGAGCGATGCCCGAATTAGACAAAATGAAAAATCCTACAGTACAAACCAGCTGTGATTCAGGATTCATCATTGTTTATTTATTATGCACACATTATAATTGAGACATTGAGATTTTTTTTGCTGGACTATATACAGTACAACAACTGAGTCTCTTTTACTCATGTTACCTCCTTCCCCTAGTTTTCTAGAGTTGGTCCTACATTTGAAGTCCTGAATGGGTAGTTGGTTAAAAAAGGGACACTCCTTTAAGAAGCCTTTAATGGTTGCTAGCTAATTTTATGTAAACGGACAGAACTGTGTTTTGATATATATATATATATAACTGAGAGATTACTTACAATAAGGAGTTTCTTTACTAGTACATCCTTCATTTGAAATGTGTCCTTTTAAAATTGTCATTTTGAAGGGCCAGGTACGCCAACTATTTTATCCTCTCCCCTACATCAAAAACAACAATGGGACACTCGTCTTATAATGACTGTTCAAAATGTGGTTATGGTTTGTGGAATGAAGTAAAATGAGACAATAAACTAGAACTTTTTTTTTACTTTTAACTGGTTGTGTAGCTTTTAGTTGCTCCCAGAATTCCTCTTACCATTTCCCAGATTGCTTTTTTTCCCCCTCCCACAAATCATCTTCTGAAAGGTGTCAGATCTTTGAACTCAACTGAAATTATATCACTTTAGCATAAAAGGAAGTTTTTTTTTTTTGTTAAGTTGCCTGAAATATTTTGTTATTAAAGTACCAGTAGTATTTTAAGGCAAAGCTCAAAATAGAGGATGTTGATTAAATGTTGATGCATCACAGTTACTGAAAAGCTTTCCGCTCGCAGTGGTGCCCTATTGTTCCCCAATCCTGTGGGAAGCAACAGTCTGTGTCTCTTTAATCTGACACGGCATCACTGGCTGTCTGGCACACAGCTTCACGTCACGTGGCGTTGGATGGATCCAGCCTTCATGTCACCAAAGTAACAGTAGCTTGTGTATTCTTATTTGGCCTTTGAACAAATGTCTCCATAAATGTTGGATGTCCAGTGTATTGTTTACATTTTTTGACTTGTTAGACTGGAGATACATTTTAGATTCATTTTGTCAGTTATTCTAACATTTGAGTTGTCTAAACATCTGAACTGTTGGTCTTTATTCATCTGTATTTCTTCATAAACTGACCTGAAGTCAGTGCAGTCACAATCTGAGCTTTAAAAAAAAAAAGCATAGCATCATAGCCTACCTGAAAGAGTTTAAGTGTAATTCATAGTCCTAAATTCGCAACTGCAAGACCTGTATTGCAGAAATATTGTCAGTTACATAGTTGGATAGTTTGTGCATGCCGTCACCAAAAACCATGTTGAAGTCTCAGGCCTTTCATGTGGGTGAGGTAAGTTCTTCAAGGAGAACCAGAAAATAATCTGTCTGCAGTAAAATATAAATGTCTTGACCATTAAGAGGAAGCAAAGACCTTTTTTACTGTGGGGACTAAACTGGAAGACGTTCATTTTTTTAGATTTTACCAAGTAAATTTGGTACTTGTTTGCACAACATTTTATATATACCAGTATATATCGGCGTCTAGAATTTGGAAATTGTAAAAAATAAAATGAACCTTTTCGAAAATGCATTTTCAAGTTGCCTATAAAAAAACAATTTTGATTTTGTTGTTATATTCCTTCATCATTTAGTTTTTTCCCCTCAGGTGTCCTGTTGGGGTTGAAAATGAAACATGGCCGTTAAACCAGTTTTCGCGCTCCACAATGTTTGGACTCGTCCAGGCTTGTGATCGGCTCGTTATGCTCACAGAAGTGAATCATCTCTGTACGAAACTGTACACATGTATGTAAATAATTTCTAACCATAATAGAAAGTTGGGGAGAGACCTATTGTTGACTTTAGAGAGCAGCGATTAAGAGTTAAGTTTGTCTTGCTCAACTTTACCACGCTCTACTACTCTGCCGATATGCATTGGCTAAATTTTTTTAACCTTTGTCAACTCCAAGAATCTACGTAAACGGCTACTATTAAACCAGTTTTAACACTTGACATGCTTTATTTTATGTCCTCCACTATTCGCCATATAGTTATCAAGTGTGTTACAAAAGAATAAATTAAACAAAGAAACACCCTTCCCTGTTACTGTTTAAACTGTCAGTCACACAAAAAATTCATTTCAGTGAGGAAGACGGAGATAACGTTACTAATCTAACAAGGTTAATTCGAGTCCTCTGGACGTATTCTTGTTGAAAAGTTTCGTCTTTTATCCAGAAGACTTCTTCAGTCTGAGGAGCTGCAATATACTGTTTTGTAAATGGCGCCTAAGACCTTAATTGCAGCTCCTCAGACTGAAGAAGTCTTCTGGATAAAAGACGAAACGTTTCAACAAAGATGAAACCATCCAGAGGACTCAGCTTAACCTTGTTAGATTTATATATATATATTTACCTCTGTTAGATTTATTGTTCTGGATAAAGTTTTACAAGGCAATAACAGTGTTTCCCCTATATTTATACAAGCGGGGCGCCCCACCCCATCAACAGAACCGAGCGTCCTGTCTACTGAGCCCCACCCCCCCACCACCACTACCTGTCAGCACTGACGTAATGCTAATCTTGCGGCTCACAAGACAGGTGCGCT